AATATCTTCTTTTTTTTTCTTTTTTTTTGGTAAAGTTTAACTCTCCCAAAGCTTTTAGTTTCTTGAAGACCTAAATCAGACCACCTGCAACTGCATCACTTCACCTGTTTTGGAAGGTCCTCCTAGAAGAGGGCAGCAAACCATGGTCTCCAGGACAGCTGAACACATTCTGGCAAGAGCAGCCTGTGTTGGGGAGGAAGGGCAGATGTGGGCTGGGCTGACCAATACCCTTACACAGAATCTGGGGTTTATCCTGTCAGTAAAGAATGAAATCTGTAGGCTGAATAATCCAAGCATAATCTTCATTAATCTTGTATATTCCACTAAAATAAAATCTAAATGATTCTCTCTTCATCAGCTTCGAATCTTCTCATTGGTCTCTACTCAAGCATATTCTAGTTGACTCCTGTAATAAATAAGTGAAAGGTAAGATGATCACTGCAGGATGGTAAAGCTCACCTAAATTCCAGGTCTCATATTTTGGGGTTGGGGATTTCTGTTTGGGTTTTTTGGTGTGGGGTGTGGTGGTGGTGGTGGTGGTGGAGGGTTGATTTGTTTTTTCTCAATTCCTAACTGTGAGTCTTGTATATTTGAGCCTTGACAGACAAGCTGCTCTTAAGTAGAGGTGTAGTCAGATATGTTAATCATCATAATCATCATAGTGTTGTTTTAATTACTGATGTTTAGTGGGCAGATGTTTCCGGTTTTACCCCTAAGTGCCTGTTAGGGATAAAGTGGGAAGTAGTAACAGCCCTGGGGTCTGTGGGCCTGTAGTAAATAGTATTTTATAGTATGATTCCATTACATATGATTATATAACATAACAAGGGTGCTGTGATGGAAGGAAAATGCAGCTTTCTCTCACTGCTTGTGATTTATTTCTGTAGTGGCTGGGACAGAGGATGTGTTGTGGTATTCTTGTATTGCACCTGTAGCACTCCTTTCTAGGAAGGCTTAACATGATAGCAAAACCAGATCTGGGTTTTTAGGATTTATTGTTGTGGAAGGCTATGGAGACTGAATCCAGGGGATACTTTTAGGTGTGGTTTCACAATGATCCAATACTGATAATAGCAGCTAAATAATCTTTGTTTTTCAAACTGGTTTGTTGGTGGTACTCTGTTGGCAGTGGTGTTATTACAGGTAGGCAGTGAGTTGAATCAGGGCCTCCAGAGCTTAGACACAAAATAGTAATGACACTGTCTGTAAAATTACTAATATAAATGTAATATACTAATATACTGGAAATTCTTATGTAATTGTTTAGGGGGTGTCTGCTGCCTTAGAAAGAGTCAGCTCATTTAAGCTTTCATCCTCAGGATTCAATATTTCAAAAGTCAGGACTGGAAATCTTGCTGTTGCTTTCAAAGATTTCTGTCCCAGTGTATAGCAGACACATTAAGTAAAATAAAGTATTTGTAAATAAGTATTTTATACGGAAAATGTTTTTGTAGCAGACCTGTCAGTTCTAAACATGTAAATCCTTCTCTCTGGCCCAGTGTAGTATTGGGAAAGCATATTTCAAACCCCTGAGGATGAAACATATTTGCAAAATATTGAGTAAATCATCAGTATTACCTCAAAATAAAAGCATTGAAATATTACTGGGGGAAAAAAGGAAAATGAAAACCTGATAAGAATCTTTGACTATGTCGTAAATAATCTCAGAATTAAGATTTCAAATGTTGATACCACATTTTAGTTATATCTCCAACTAGTGTGTTACTAGTAATTTATCTTGCTGACCTAAACATGAATTTAATTATGCAATGTTCTCTTTCAAGAACAAGAATTCAAAGACACTGCAAATGCAATGACCCTCTTCCCGATATCATTCCATTTTCTTTTTAAAAACAATAGTCTGGTGATTATATACATCAGTCTGCTTTCTCCTCATTTCCTTTTCTTGACAGGCTTTTTGCAGAGGTTGAAGTTTGAAGGCCTAATTATATTTTTACTTTTAACATGAAAAACATATGTATGTAAAGAGAGTTTTAAGGATCAAAAATTGAAACAACATGGAATTCTAATATACTAAGATTGGTTTTCTGATTATCATTACTAAACTGTCCTGGTTTCTACTGGGATAGTTAATTTATTCTCAGTACCTGTTGCAGTGCTGTGTTTTGGATTTGGAATAAGAATGGTGTTGCTATGTCACTGATGTTTTGGGTTTTTACTAAGTTGTGTTTATCCTAGGTGCTGGACTATTTTTTGTATTGTCTCATGCTCTGCCATGAGGAGATGCACGAAAGGAAGAGAGAAGGAGCACAGCTGGGACAGGTGACCTGAACTGACCAGGATATTCCTCACCATGGAGTGTCATAGCCAGTCTCTAAACTGGGGGAGTTACTCAACAGGTCTGATTTGGGTTTGGGTCTGCAGATGGTGAGCAGTTGTGATTTTTTCCCTATTGTTATTTTTATTATTACTACTACTACTTATTATTATTGCATTTTATTTTACTTCCAATTATTAAACTATTTTTATCTCTACATACAAGTTCTACTTCAATTCTCTTCCTCACTCCACAAGTGTGGGAAGGGGAAGAGAGGGAGCTAAGCGAGTGACTGGGTGGTGTTTCATTTCCAGCTGGGCTTAAAACCACAACACAAGCCCCAGGAAAAAAAAAATCTCTTAAGTGAGCAGCAATTCTTCCTTTTCTGTGCAGAACTTGGGGCCTCGTGTACGTCAGCAAAATGTTCTTGAGAAACTCAGAATTAGGAAGCTGTGTTGCTACGTAATGTCTGTTTTTAAGTCTTGTTGAAAAATTCTCTGAAGGAATTTGAGTAAGTCTGTGTTAGTTGGAATGAGTGTGGATAAAGCAGCTTTTCTGCAGATTTGGAGGGTGCCAAGGAAACAAAAGCAGTCCTAGCTAATAGTGGGAGGAGGAAGAGGATGATATGTGGATGTTATGTTAGAGATGCTGGTTTGTGCCTGGTCTTGAAAGGTAAAGGTGAAAATCGAGTTATGAGGAAGAGAAACTGAAAGGGAAACTTTAATTGCTTACTCAGAGATAAAATCTTCACCTTTTCACTTCTGCATCTTTAACTAAATCTCTGGCTGTAGTAGGACAGAACTAATGGTACCAAGTGTTGCCCAGGCTGCTGAGAGCCTGGAGCATTCTCTGCTAGGAGCTGGAACTGAGGTGATGAGGGAGATGTGCTCCCAGCTTGAGGCAGGAGTTCAGAATTGATTACAGGAGTGATGCTGATGGGTGTAGTAAAAGATGGCACACCTCATGTGGATGCTCTCATTCAGAGGTAAGGTAGCTCTTTTTGCTGGAGTCTGATTCTCCAAAAGGTTAAAGCCTGTTTCAGCTCTGACAGAGAGGACTTAAATCTTAGTGACTGCAAGCAGACAAGCACTTAGTTCTGAGTAACTAACTGTGGCCTTGGGCCAGTCATCCTCCAAATGTATCTCACAAAGAAACTGTTTTGGCTTTCAGGGGAGCAAAATAAATCAGAAATAACAGTTCTCAAAAGTTCTGACTTTAGCTAGTATAATAACTTGCCAGGCAGAGCTGATAATAAATGTGTGTCTCAGTCCTAAAATACTGTTCTTCATATGCTCCAGTGCTCCTTGGCATAAGGACAGTATTGTATGGAGAATTAAATGGACAAGCTCTAAACAGCTACAGGAATTGTTACAATGGCATCAGCGTAGAAGGAGTTTATTGTTAAGAGTTGAATAGTGGGGCTTGCTTCCTGGGCACTAACCTTTCTCCCTATTAATTCTTTGACATGGAAGGAATTAATAAGATTCCCAGAGAATGGCTTGAGGAACTTAATTAGTATAAAAGAAACAGTATTATTCCTAAAGCTACTTCATTACTGTTGGCTTTACAATAGGACTTCTGCCTAAAATGTCCCTGTCTCCTGATTCACTTCCTGCTATAAACTCAGCAAAACAATAGACAATTCACAGAAGATATATAACCCTGCATTTCATCAGCAGAACATGTCAGGCAGAGCTCATTTATCTGTGGTAAAGGAAGGGCTTTACTGTGGTACCATAAACTGGTGCTGTCTCTCAAGCAGTTGCTGTTCAGTTGGCTTGGATGGAAATTACAAAAGGGAGCTGACATTCTGTGCCTGCTTTATGGCAGGAGTTCACTCCAGCCTTTGGGTCAGTGGGAAGGACTTTGTGCCCTGTGGTGCTGAGGTATCCATTTATACTGACATGCATGGCTTCTTAAAAAAAAAAAAAAGCCAACAAAACAAACAGAAACATCATTCCTGTCTTCTCTGAAGAAGAACTCTGTTTTTCTCTGCAGAAAACAAATGTGGATAGCTGGGAAAAGCTGACTTTAGCCACAATTTTGTTTAAAGTGCCACAATTAAGAGGAAAAAGGAGCATAAATTAATATCTTGGAAAAATTGGTTGTTTTATACTAAATTGCAGGAAGTTGTGTGGGCTAGATTCTATGTTTTTCCACCTTTTTTAAGTTGCCATCAAAGCCTAGGCAAGCTCTCCATACTTGAGCTTTCCCAGTAATGATGATCGTATAGATCCCTTTGCTATTGACAGAAAGTCTTGTATGCCTTAATTATTCTTCAATTTTGTATCTATTAAAAGCAAATAATTCACATTTGAAGTAGCAATAGACAATTGTAAAATAGAAAAGTTTGGACAGTATCAAATAGTAATTAAAAACACTCATGAAAAATAAGTAGACAACAAAAAATACTTCAGATAAGAATTTGGCTTTTATTTGAAAGGTTCTTTCCCAGTGAAAGTTGGGCAGTGAAACAGTGAAGTTGATTAAGTGGAATGAAATTTAATAATCTGAGATTAGTTGTCATTGGTTGGCATATATAGTCACTAACAGCATTAAGTTTGCAATCAAAATATGGTTCAGGGTTTAAATTAACATTTAAAGTGTAAATAAAGATTCTAACACATGAAGTTTCTTAGCAAGAGAGATGGAGTTTGAAGAGAATTCTGAAATGTTATGGCAGCAGTCAAGAAACACAAAATTTGTTCTGAGTGAAGGCAAGAGACAGAATTTCTTTACAGGGAAAGTACTAGTGCCTGAAAGGACACATGGAATTTCTGAGGACAGCAGAAGAAGCAAGAAGCGTATTTAAAAATAGATTGTGTTAAAAGTAAAAATAACCGTGGGATACTTATCTAAAATGAGAGGATTTTTTTTTTTCCCCTCACAAACTTCCTGTCCTGTTCCTAACAGTCTGAATCAAATGTTCACCAGTGGGGCTGGAGAGACTGTCAGCTGTTCTTCCAAGGAAAAAGATAAGGGTAATCTTTCACTGGATGTTACATTTTTAAGATAACTGAAAATGTACAGAGAACAGCTGCTTTTTAATACCTAGGAAAAAATATCAAAGTACTAAAATCAAAATGATTAATAGATAAATATGGTAAAGTGTGATTTTCTACATAAGTAAATTATTTATGGCATCATAATAGTGTCATCTTGCTGGCATCTTGCATCACTGATGATAGATAAAATTAGAACACTAATCTCTTTTAATTCACTATGAGAAAAAGTTAATCTTTGAATATACATAAAGCCAATTTACATTTGATCAATTTAAAGAAATTGTACTTTATTAATCTTTGAGGTATATTTCCTCAAGCAGTTTTTCAAGTGCATATATGTATTTATTCAGTGCGTGTAGCCTCAAGCCCTCTATATGTTTATACAGCCATTAAACTGTATTACTGTAAGTAATGCAGTCAAATTAATGTACCTGCATGTACAGTGCAGACAAATTCTGCTTTCTTCACTGGAAGAGCAATAGTGTTGATTCCAAAAGTACACTAAGGTGATTCTAATAATGTTGCTTCCAAATTGTTTCAACTACTACACTTGGAATGGGGTAAAAACTTGGCAGTTAAAAATGTATTTTCAAAACTCTCATAACATTTATTGTCTTACTGGCTTCCAAAGGTGTCCAGGCATTTTTCATTTAAGTGTCAAAAGGACAGAAAACATCTTGCAAGCAGAGAAGAATATTCAGCAGGCTCAAAAATACTATTCCCTAAAGTGGCGCCTTGAGAAATTTCCAAATATTAAATTAAGATGTTCATAAAAATTGCTTTTCGGTAAGCTTTATTTTTTACAGCTAATAGTCTTGATTTTTTTATTTTCAAAAATATTATTTCATAGCATTTATAAATATGTTTCATAGCAGTTATAAAGATGCTAGTTGAATCATAAAGGTGTTTAAGTGAAACACTGAAAAACACAATTGTTATTTCTCAGGTTGTACTCATATCTGAGTCCAGTCGTTTATGCAAAAATGTTGTGTAAATTCCTCATTTCTGATCAATCTCCATTCCCTTGGAAGCCAGTTGAAATTCCTTATGAAGGTGACTCCCAAAATAACACACTGCCTTTCCACTATGACACAAGGGCTAAATTTATTGTACCTATATGTGTTTGTGTGTGTGTGTGTGTGTGTGTGTGTAATATATACTATATATTAATTGTGTATTATATATTAGGTATTATATGTTTTATATATATAAAAAGTATAGTAAGTGTATATATGGAAACACAGTAAAATATATGTAAATGAGTAATAAATTGTATACAATTTCTATGTACATATTATAATGTAATATATATAATTACATGTTTATATATATATATATATATAAGCAGTACATTAGCCTACCTGTAAGTAGGCTGATAAATTAATGCATGGGAATAGCTGATTTGAAGAATATTTTCTTCATTGTTAAAAGTCTGCCTGATAGTTTGTGCCTCCAGACTCAGGACTTGAAGATACATTTCTTACTCCTTTTCCAGTAATTGTCCCCAAACTGGCCTAAGTAGGAACGTGGGCTCTGGTTTTCACAGGGAGTGGCATAGATGCAATCAGCACTGGGTTTGTGCACGCTGGAGTGATTTTGGGGCACAAGGTGGTGGCATTCACTGAACTCTGTGTGGAATAGTTGGGGATTTTCTGTGCCAGTCCACCCCAGGCTGCAGGTTCTGCCCTCTGCCAAACTGGAATTCCCTTTCATCGCAGTATGAGCTCTGCTCTATGATTTACTCTGAATTCCTGTTCTGTTTCTTCCATCTTTGAACAAGTTTGAGCATTATTTGAGCAAACAGAGATGAATGACTGTTTTGATGTTAGATTGAAGAAAATCTAAGTGTTCTGGCATGGAAGAATTTCAGCTTTTACAATGCTCTAGGCAAAACGGAAGCTTAATTCCTTACAGAAAAAGCTGTATTTGTTATTGTATATGTCCGCTGTAGTGTGCTGTAAAGAAAGCTTGATCTCACATTAATGAGAGAGACTGTAGAAAACTAAAGCACAGCTCTGGTCAGAAGTGTAAGGAACAATAAATTACAAGATTTCTCCTCTCAAATGTGAACTGTTAACTTTCAACACATGAGAGTGAAGAAAGGCAGACTAGGGAAGGGAGAAACCACGTTCAATCTTAGGAAGCTTACCAACCTGGCCAAATTTCACAGTAATGTTAATAGCGATTAATTCAAATCTATTTGTCAAGGA